TAGTTTCAAGATAAGCATTCAGCTTGCCTTCCAGCTCCTAGAGTTGATACAGTGGGGACGATTATGTCTAATTGGGCATTATTGGACCATTTTAATTATCGCACGCAAACATTCGGTTGTTTAAATGAGCTATATTAGTCCCTAAATTAAACTTTCACTGAGGGGTCTAACCAGAGGATGCACGAACGTGTGTCACACGTCACCTGTAGGCTGCGCACAACGTCAGTTACTAGGCCAAGTATTGTCACCAGTAGACTTTACTCGTAGTTCCTACTGACCATAGAAAGAAGAGAACAAAAGTGGGACCGATCCTCATTATCCTACGTCCGACTCTTTTATTGAAAGACAGTGGGTGGAGAAGGGAGGGGTGCCGTAGGTCCAATGCAAATCTTCCTCACTGCAATCCAATAAACGGCCCAGTTGGCCCTCATCGGTGTCGGCAGCCTACCGATGACTACTACAATAAATACTGTCTCCAATCCTGGACTTACGTGCTTGCTGACTGGACCTTTTGAATGCACGAATTTTCATCCACCTTATGCTTCAAAAAATTTAGGTGACTCTGTTGCTATTTCCAATATAAAAAATTAGCCTACCGTCTTTAAAGAGACTATGACACATAATAGGAGCACAGTATGACGTTGCTGTTTCCCCCTTTAGACTTCAAACTACCAAAGCGCTACTTAAGAATACGTCTCTCCTTTTGGCCCTACCGGCGCAACCGCCCAAGACCCTGGCTCAGTGCTATCCCATTCCAAGGCATATTTTTCACCTGAACGTGACACCCTTCCATCCCATTCTCCTGCAGACGGACTCCAAAGACAATGCGGAGGGATTTATCGTGCTCTCTGTCACTTGGGGATTACTCGCAGAGTGTGATCTTCGCAGCGAGGTAATCCGCTGTGTAGGCGAAGCCCGGTTCTCGCTCACTTGTGTCTATTTAATCATGAGTAAGTTGCCAAGAAAGAGTTTACTATTGGGCCATTAGTGTTTCCATAATTTTGCATTCCGCATCTTCACGAAAATTACAGAGTAATTTGAGTATAACTTAGATCCGATTT